ACAGTGTGGGCCATCTTTTCAGCCTAAAACTTCCCTGGATGAGCAGGCAAGAGCTTTACTGAGCAGTTGAGTCCTTATGGGTCTCACAGAGATGGGCTGAGGGTGGAGGACATAGGCAGAGCACACCTAAAAAGAGTCAAAGATTGGAATCCTATTCATAAAACCAGATATTTAGTAACTCTTTAGAAAAGGTGACAATGGCCTTTACTGATAAAAATTTATTTTTCTAAAATGAAACAACCACTGGTAAAAAAAAAAAGTGAGTTCAGTAAATAGGCGACTTTCTTCCCTGCAATAAATGCATCACACAAAATACCATAAACACTAGGAAAATAATTGATCTCCATGAAGCAAGCAGACAAATAGCAATTATGCAGCATAATGTTAATCAGCCATTATAATTCTTTCCATGTAGACCATCTATATAAATCTCTGTAATAGGTTTCTATGGGTACCATAACATATTACCACAAACTTAGTGGCTTAAAACAAAAACAAATTGAGGGGTACTAGGGTAGTGCCATTGGTTAGGCATCCTACTCTTGGTTTCAGCTCAGGTCATGATCTCAGGGACCTGGGATCAAGCCCCACATTGGGCTCTGTGCTCAGCGCAGAATCTGCTTGGGATTCCCCCTGCCCCTCCCACTCGTGTTCTCTCTCTCTCTCTCTGAAATAAAATACATCTTTTTTAAAAAACACACAAATTGATTATTTTATAGTTCTGTAGGTTAGAAGTCCAATAATGAGTGCACTGGGCTAAAATCAAGGTGTCAATAGGGCTATACTCTTTCTGCGGGTTCTAGGGGAGAGTTTGTTTCTTTGCCTTCTCCAGTTGCCTACATTCCTCAGCTTATAGCCCCTTCTGCCATCTTCATAGCCAGCAACAAGAGGCATTCCTTCTTACATTACATCACTCTGACTTCCTCTTCTGCCTCCCTCTTGCACTTTTGAGGATCTTTGTGACTACACGGGGCCTACCCAGATAATCCACTGATTTTAAAGTCAACTGATTGGCAATACTTAATTCCATGTACAACCTAATTCCTCTTTGCCAAGTAACCCCACGTAGTCACAGGTTCTGGGAATTAGTAAGCATTATTCTACCTACCATAATCTCTAAGGAAGATCACTTCTGAATCATATACTATTAATCTCTGGCTGTAAATAATATACTGCATCTCACACATACCTTATTCATTCTCTTCCAACGATTCAAAAACAGTGGAGTTCTTCCAGCAACTTTAGCAAAGGTGTTTCCATTTGATTGAACAAAAGCAGAAAGAGACAATGCTCTGACAGTAAGAGTTACATAACCAAAATCATTCCTGTTTATACTAGGCAGTGGAGTTTTATTTTCTCTGATATCAGGCTTCCTTTGGCTACAGGAAAATAAGGTATCAAAATTTAATATGCATGTTAACAAGTCGTATATGGCTGTCTTCACACACCCCTGTAATCTACCATACTATTCAGTCCTTTTTATATTTAGAACTTGCTGTATTGCCAAAGAGAAAAATATATGTTGTGTTAGCAATAAGTCAGAGTGATGAATTAGAAAGTGAAGCATAGTGTGGTTGGGATCTGAAAGCACAGAAACCATGGGTTGAATTTTTTTCTTAATAGACTCATCTAAACAGAATATTTATGATTTCAAGTCTAAATGCCACTACACATAAAAATATTTGATTGCAAAAAAATAAAAAATAAATACTTGGTTGCTTAACTTCTTTAGAAAAAGTAAAATTATATAGAATGTCACTCCCCAAGAACATTTTAGAAAACTATTGTTAAAGTTTTATGTAAGTGCATTGTCTAGATCAAGAGATGTAAATTAAAGGGGTCTGGAGCCCAGGCAGGTAACAGAAATAAATGGATGAGGCCAGGTGGGCACTGGGTATACTAGCACCTTTGTTGCCCCAACTCAAGAGGTCAACCACCACTCAGCTCTAACAGCTGATTTTTGGTTCATAAGATTGTCTGACATTTTTATAATTCAGAAAATATAACTTTTACGTGGAAACATTCATATTTTCAAGACTGGCAACTTAACAATATACCGCAATCCCTTGACAGAGCAATAAAACAAAAGCCATGGACCAAATTTAGCTAACCATCCAGTAGTTTGCACCTCTGAATCTAGATCATCCAATCCTTGGTAACTACCTGGTATTTTACTTGATAAAATCAAGAGTGGTATAATTTATTGTCTAATTGGATGCAAACATCAAAACCTAGAAGAAAAATGTGTGTACATAGATGAGGTAAAAAGCCTTAGCATGCACCTAAGGGGTTCTTTATTCCTTATTGGGAATTGATTATGACTTATGTTTTGTTTTTTTTTAAGATTTTATTTATCTGTCAGAGAGAGAAGAGAGAGCGCACAAGCAGGGGGAGCTGCAGACAGAGGGAGAAGCAGACTCCCCGCTGAGCAAGGAGCCAGATGCAGGACTTGATCCCAGGACCCTGGGATCATGACCCGAGCCAAAGGCAGACGCCCAACCAACTGAGCCACCCAGGCATCCCATGCCTTATGTTTTGTTATGGCCCCAGCACATAGCATAGTATCTGCCACATAATAGGCTTTAAGTAAATATTTGTTTAATTTATGAATAACTGAACTTTAAAGAAAATTTTTGATTACTCTGAGGATTATACTCATACTTGTTAACATAAAGTAGTGACCTAGCCTTAAAATGTGGGGTTGGCTTAGAAAGCAAGAACCCTTGGGGTGCCTGGGTGGCTCAGTCAGTTGGGTATTAGACTCTTGATTTCAACTCAGGTCATGATCTCAGGTTCATGAGATTAAGCCCCATGTTGGGCTCCACGCTCAGCATGAAGCCTGCTTGGGATTCTCTCTCTCCCTCTTTCTCTGCCCTTCCCCCTACCTCAGGTGCATGCACATGCACGCACATGCTCTCTCTCTCAAAAAAAAAGAAAAGTAAGAACCCTTAATATTTTCCATATTATCAAAAGATATATATAGATATAGATATAGATATTCTAACAATTGTTATGTTGCACTGACCAATAAGATCTTTTATAATATAATGGGGCAAAGCCAGATTTTAACTTGAAACTATAATGTAACAGCAACCCAAATCAAGTATTTGTATGGTAATTTTATGTTACAAAGTGCTTTCAGTATGTGATTTCTCTTATCACCAGAACATTTCACTAAGGTAGACAAATATTATCTTCATTATAAAGATAGAAAACTTGAACTACAAAGGAAGCTAAGTGATTTTATAAAGACTTGCAGAAAATTAGCTATAGAACTGAACTTAATCTTTCAGCCCATGATCATTCTCTCCTGATAAGAAGACAGCATGGGGTATGACAATAAAGCATAGAATCAGATGAATTAAATATGTACAATGGCACCTTCATAAACGGGTTGGGAAGGAATTGCCTCTGTGTGGCACAGAAGAGGAAGGCAAGAATGTGCATAGAAGGAAAGTATAATATTTTTCAAGATAGTGTGTAGACATCGGGGTACCTTATTCATCACGACACCAGTTGCATGTTGGTTAAATCATTCAGCAAAATGAGACAGATGAGCTTGACCTTTATTGTTTCACTTAGAAACACATTGCTCTGTGATATTTTCATTTCCTATATATATTTGTCTACCCCACTACAGTGGAAATGTCATGAAGGTCAGAGGCTAAGACATATTAAGAGTTCTTAGGCAATCTCTACCCAGAAGAAATTAATTGAATGCTTTGATTGGTTAATGGGAAACATAAACATTGGTGATAGTGGAGCATAATGGTTAAGAACACAGGACTTGAAGTCAGTAGATCTGTGTCTGAAACCATGTTCCATCAATGTCTAGCTGGGCAACTTTCGGTGAGTTTCTCCACATCTACAAGTCACATTGTCATCTGTAAAGAGGGTGACAATGATAAAACTGAACCGTAAGTTTGCAGTGAGAATTAAAAAAGTTAATGTTTGTAAAAACCAGCAGGATGGTGGGTACCTGACATACACTCAATAAATGTTTCACTATTGCAACAGACTGACGTTTCAAGTTCAGGAAAGTGCTGGAGCTACATGCTGATCTCTAGTTTTGAAGAAGGAACATTTGGTTGGTTCTCAAAAACAAAGTTAGATGCCGAGAAAAAATCTTTTAAAGTGACCCAAAATGTATCTTTAAAACAAACTTTTAATTTAGTCCACATGCCATTTGGAATATAGTAATACAACAAAGACGAAAAAGGCACAGATGCAGTGTGCCTTACTATCAGTACAAATTATTACAAACAGAATCAGTTTGCAGACACAAGCTCACTGACTGAGCAAACCAGGTGGCATGTCAAGGTTTACGGAGGACTGAAGACCTGAGATTTGGCTGGTCACAGAGGAGACATTCAAAAGAAGGAATAGGTGCAATACTATTTGGAGTAATCTTCCTTGTTTCTAGAAAGAAACAGATATTTCACAAATTTATTATCTTATCAAAGTCCAGCCACTTTTTTTTTTCCAGTGTGTACTTGTGCTTAGCTCTTTCATTGTTCATGGTATGTTTTCAGACCCTAATTGCTCCTATGCACAGGCAAAAGGAATGCAATGGTAGAAGTACATTAAAATGAGAAAAAGAGGATGCTAATTTCTTAAAAGGGAAATAACACATATGGAATGATCCCGATCATACCTAGAGTGATATTTTTATGAGAGAAAACTAGAGCCAAGCAATTGAAACGTTTTCTACCCAAAAGTAGCAGGAAAAAAATGAACAATCACAGAGCAAGTACCACACAACAATTTAGAAGAGAATTTAATGCCAAAAGAAGGTAATAAACTACTCCACTGACACTTCTCCTTTTGTGTCTTTACTATTTATAAAATCCAATTCATGCAACCTGAAAACTTCTGTGAAGTAACACTTTGAACCCGAATTTTCAGTTCTGGGGCTCAAGCAAAGGAATGCCAGCCAAGTTCATCTAACACAGCCAGAGGGACCGACTCTTCGAAGTCACAGTTGTTGACTGTGAGTCGACTCACAGAACATCCTCTGTTTCTCCTCTGCTTCCTTCCGCGTCTGGGTTAAATTCCAAGGGCCTGGGAGACTCCACCATTGGAATCTCCTCTCCCAGCCTCGCGTTGCCTTCCTTGGTCTCCTCATGGGTCGTGCGTGGCAGGCAGTCCTGCTCCGAGTTACTCCAGACATAGCCGGGTAAAGTCACGTGGCTGTCGGGCTGGCGGCCGGCTGTCCTGGGGGTTTTGCCGGCGATGAGCACCAAGCGAGCGCTGGCTGGCCCCTGCGACTGGCTGCTGGTGCTGTGGGTCAACGTGGTGAGCACGGAGCCGTATCTGTGGCTGCCGCAGGGGGGCGTCCTTTTCCAGTCGATGGAGAGATTCCACCGACTCCACAACTTCTTCACCTCAGCCTGAACCTAAGTCGCAGGAAACATTCTGCGTCAGAAACCATCAAGGAGACCCTGCAGCCTTGTTACAATGGACCTGTGCCCTTCAGTGATGGTGATTACGGAGTTTCCACTGTGTACCAGCGACTTGATGTACATACTCTCTCTCTTAACCTTGAAAAATCTTGGAGATAGGTATCCTACCAGAGATGAATAAACGGAGGCTTTGAGAGAGGTGAAGGGCTGATCCAAGATTAGCATTTTATATAATTTGAAATGCAGCCCATAGAAACATCTGCCTTGGGGTGCCTGGGTGGCTGGGTCCGTTAAACGTCAGACTCTGGATTTCGGCTCAGGTCATGATCTCAGGGTCCTGGGATAGAGCCCCCTGGTGGCTGGGCGCTCAGCCGGGAATCTGGGGATTCTCTCCCTCTTCCTCTGCCCCTACCTCCACCCTGCTCGCGATCCATCTCTCTCTCAAATAAATAAATCTTTTTTAAAAAGAAAGAAAGATCTGACTTGTGGGAGAAGGAAAAGAGGATTATGGGTTGGAAGAGAAGGAGAGAGAAACAGTGCCAGCCGGCTGAAGAATGGCATGGAAGGTACTCAACCTGAAATGTAATACTATCACTTTTGCATAGGCATACTGAAGGAGGAAAGAATGGGGAAGAAGCTTATACATGAAAAGCAGGCACTGCAAATGCATTACTAATGCGGTGGGACTCTTGCTTCCAACCTGTGGTTGAAGATTCAATTCTACTGCTCTTGCCATTAACCAAAAAGGAGCTTATCTGGAAGTTCCGTGGAAAACAGTGGAAATCTGGTATGCTGGTTCACCTAAAAGAACAGTAGGGCTACTTCTCTCCAGCCAACCCCTAAATGAACTGAAAGCATCCTGTCATCATTGTATAGTTTTGAAAATATCAAAATATTCTTTCTTATCCCAAGAGAACTTTTTTTTAGTTTCTTAGAGAACTTGAAATTGAATATCAGTTTAAGTATTGACTGAAATATGGAATTCACTGTCCTTCCAAGTATCAATTTACATTCCAATAAGTTGGTTTTTTGCTATCAGAGTTTCCAAATGAATTAACATTGAAAAGTGCTAGAAGAGAAAGACTCTAGCCTATTTACATTAATTCTTGCTCTCTCAAAATCATGTATGATTGAAATATCTCCCTTCTCCCTGCTCATTTTTTCCTGTAATTGCTGGGGATCCTAAAGAGATTCAGGTCACACAGCGATGACCATTTACAAGCTTACTCAGAGCTAGAGCTGTGGGATGTACAGGGGGGGTTCTTCAAACCTACCTCCCCATTGCAGTAGCAGTAGATGATAGACACAAAGAATCCCTGGGGAACAAAAGAGAAAGTTAGCATACTGACAACTCCAGAAGATCACGGCATTGAGGTGTCTTGTATCACAATACATACATTGAAAAACTGGGTTGTGTTATGCTTCCTTCGGAAAATTATATGAACTCTTCTCTCCTGGTGTTTCCAAATCTTTAAGTTTATATTTTTCTGAGATCCTTCTTTGGTGTCAGCTGAACCAAACAAGTAACTGAATAAAACACTCCAAGACACACAAATAACTGGTTTCTATTATATTAGCTTCATTTATGTTTTCACTCAAGGATCACAGAATATTCCCTGGTTGGTAAGAGATATTTATACACTGTGAATCCTGGAAACTACAGACATAGGCTATTATATGGAAAAAAGACAAAGAAACTTTTTGTTTCACTCATTCAAAAATATTTATTTTTGAATAAATAAATAAATAAATAAATATTCTACAGGGCAAACTGCTCAGCATGCCAGGGATAAACAATTCAATCAAGACAGAGAAGGTCCCTGTTCCCTTAGACTACATTCTAGAAGGAAATACAGATGATGGATAAAATATAAACAACTAGCCACACTAGAAAAATGTAAGATTATAAGGGTTATGCAGGCCAAACAACTGGTATGAAAGAGAAGAATGGAGAAGATACACTGAATGAAGACCAAGTTGAAGAGATGACCATTTAAGCTGGTTTGAGTGAAAAGAAGCCAGGCCTTGTGAATATTAGCAGGGCGCGCCTTCCAGACAGAGGGAACAGTAAGTCCAAGCCCCTGAGATAAGAATGAGCTCGAGGAACACTAGTGGGGCTCAAACTTAGCCGGCAACCGGGAACATGATGGAACTCGACGACACAGTTGGATAGGATCCCTGCCCCGAGGGCTGTGCACACCAGCAAATGGCATTTGGATTTTATTCTGAGTGCAGTGGGAAACCTCTAGGTACTTCTGGTAGAGAAGGGACATGATCATATTTATTTTTAAGATCCTTCAGACCCTTGTATGGAGACTAGATTTAAGGCAGCAGTGGGAGGCAGCAAGCGAGTAGCCAGGAGGAGAAGATAGATGTCCGCAGAAAGCCAAGTGAGGGGTGATGGTAATCATATTTTCAAATGAGATAAAATGGGTAGAAGCTACCTTTTCTCCTTTGTTGTCTCCCTTTCCCTTTTCCCCCCTCTTCCCTGCCTGCTTTTTCTTTGGCTTTCGTTTATTTTCTGTACACACACGCTGCTCTATGCGTATTACATATTCTACAACAAAATGTTTTCTTGTCTCACTGCCCAGGCGTGTTTGTGAGAAGCAGCTCCTGCAATGGTCAGAGGTTAAAAGCACAGGCTCCAGAGAGTATGGCCTTTTCATGGCCCTCTGGGGACAGGTCCATGAAAGCCAGACAGAGGGGCAGAGAACAAAGTTGCAAGGGGTGGGGGAATAAAAGCAAAATGCAAGAACTACATTACTAGCTGGTGCTCTCTACCTGAAAGGAATTGAAGAAGAGCTCACAGTGCATCCGGACCTCCCAGCCGAGCCCCGTGAAGGAATGGGGCAGGCACAGGAACACGATGTAGTGCACTCCAAAGACGAGCACAAGGACCAGGGTTGATTTGGCCAGTTTCCTGAAAGAGAATACCAAGCCTTTTTATTCATCAACTTCGAGTGCCTGTCAGTAGAGACAGCTTGCTGGGAAAAAAACTGAAGCTTAGCAGAGCTAAAGGGGGCTGCATTTTTTCCATCTCTTTGGACCCCATGGCTCCTGCTAGCTTCCCCCCGCCTTCCTGTCCTTTTATACTACATCAAGTCATTTATTCTCATTTCCCATGATTATTATACCTTAAATCTTTCTAATCTCATCTCCACTCTCCTGGCCTAGAATACTATTTTCATAAAGCCATGAAATGCCCTTTATTCTGTCCTAAATTTATTTTAACATCTATGTTTGAGACTTAAAACAAGTATTACCTCAATCCATGTTAACTGTCTTTACTTTCATAGGCCACATTTTGACTTGTTTTGTTCATTTTAAAATTAACTACTCCCTAGTTGGATCTGCATTAATCATTTCATATTTTCTTATGAACTTCATGTGGCCAATACTTTCTACTTTCTCTAAATATCCTCTGTCAAATATTCTACAAAATATGTATAGTTCTAGGTTTTGTGCTTTTTTTTTTGGCAAGCTAAGCAATTTGACTTTATTTCCCTTAACTACCTCTTCATATACATTTTCTTGTGTAACTGGAGGAACCCCGGGTTTCTAAGATGATTGATTCTAAAATGGCCCTCAATGATCCTGGTATTTACATTCTTGTTAATCTTCTCCCCTTGAATGTAGGCAAAGACCTGGACCTTACTTCTAACTGATCGATTACAGCCAAAATGATGGGATGTCACTTCTGTGATTACATTTCATAAGAGTGTAACTTCCATTTTACTAGCAAACTCTCTCCTTTGTTTGGTTCAAGGAAGTAAGTTAATCATGTGGTGAGCTAGTGGGAGAGATGACAAGGAGAGGGGACACTGACCACCAGCCAGCAAGAAACTGAATCCCGTCAACAATCTCATAAACTTGGAAGTGGATTCTTCCCCAGTCTTAGGGTAAGACTGCAGTCCTGACTGTCAGTTGAGCCTCGTAAGAGATCTTAAAGCAGGAGGCCCAGCTAAACCATGCCCAGGTTCCTGACCTACAGAAACAGTTAAATAGCAAGTGTGTTGTTTTAAGCCACAGACATTTGCGGTAATCCGTTTGCACAGCAGATAGCTAGTACATCCAAGCACACCATGTGTTCTTTTGTACTTTTTATCCAAGAAACTGCCAAATCTGGCTAATTCTTTCTTACTCGTCTTACCTCCAGCTACTTTTCTTCCTTCCTTCCTTCCTTATTTATGTACTTACTTATATACTTAGTTCTCTTCTTGGAAGTAAGCTGTATGGGTGAAGCTAAACAGAAATGGATTTGGGTTCTAGATATACCATTGACTCCCTGAGTGATTGTAATTCAGTTTTCTTTTTTCTAAAATGTGGGAACAGGGCCCAGAAGTTTATAAGAGCTCTCACAGTCTAACGCTTTCCTAGGGAGGATCATCTTCCAGATACATCCATTTTCCCATTATAACCATCTTTCTGGCTCCTGCAGGAGCTGGGTGTCCCACAGAATCATATTGAAATGCCTAATTTAGGCTTTTGGAGTTGCACGCCTACCCCATCTCATTCTCCTCTGCCTCTCGTATCTCTCAGTAGTGCCCAGACCTCCTCTTGGCTCAGAGCCATCTGCTCTGCCTCACACCCATAGTTTCCCTGGTGGCCTATGGGCTTTCTCCTATGCTGCTCTAGTCCCACACCTCCTACCTTGACTCACCTATAGTCTACTTAATTTGAAAATTCTACCTTAAGTCTGTTTCATTCAAGGCAGCATCCCTGATAAGACAATGGATTTCTCTGACCTAACTCATCCTTTCAACTTCCAGAGGCTCCTTGGGATATGCTTGTCCTCCTGAATTCTGACTAGTAACTACCCTCTTCCCATCACTGCATATATGAGCAAGACACTGTGAGGACCTTCATGATACTGTAATTCAGTCTAATCAGATAAAGCGGGGACAGCATTAACTACACTTGCAGAACTTTAGAAGTCTTGGTTAACAGCACTCTGAAAAGAAAATTGCATTTCCTCCTTTAAGATGAATGGATAAATCCCCCTGGAGACTATACTCAAAATCAAGCTAACTTTGATTGTTCCTATTGTGTGTGACTGGAGCCAAAAACTAGGTTAAGAGAAGAAAGAAAGAGAAAGAAAGAGGGAAGAAAAGAAAAGAAAAGAAAAGAAAAGAAAAGAAAAAAAAAAAAAAAAAAAAA